TTAAGGCTTTTAGATGAGATTTTAGAGCACTTTTGAGATTTTAGTAGATATAGTCAGTGTAAGCGGTATGAGGGACTGGGAAGCAGCTCTTGAGCTAAGAAAGTCAGTTCAACCCCTGGGATGAGGATACGAGGGTAGGAATGGGTATGAGTAAATTTTTAAGCAGAAGAATGCGAATAAAGGTTGTAATTGCTTGATGAAGTAAGGCTAATGGTTGTGCAGAGAGTATGGAGGCAAAGGCTCAGTGGTAACACTGAAAGGGCGAATTCCTAATCTCGTCAGGGGAGAAGTCACAAACTACAAAATCAAGAAGCAGCTAGGCAGGACCAGGAGGAAAGGGACCAGAGGCCTCTATGAGGTCAATGATCAGTTTCAGAGTGACTGAGACCATGACAGAACTTGATGGAGGATACCTTTTAAGTTCAAATAGCTGAATGTAATTACCCAAATAATAGCTTGCAAACCAAGACGTTGACTGAAATAGGTTGTTTCAGAAGTATTTTAGATGTGCTGCATAGTATGGTAACTATTGTTAATAACTGCGTTTCAAAATTGCTAAAATTTCAAATGTCCTCACCACAAAAAAGTATTTAGAGTCATGGGTGTGTTAGCTTTAATCACTTCACACTACCTTATGCTCCACAAATATGCCGTTATATTTCTCAATTTACAAATCAAGAAAAACTAGGATAAAGGATGTGAAGATAAGGACTGATCAAAACAACTCATGGGGTGAAGACTGTTAAATGAGGGTACATCTAACGTCCTGGCCCTCTTAGAGAGATCACTGTTTTTTCTTAATGAACAAGCATTTGATGCACCTAACTGATTTTCCACAACACTAAGTGCTACTGATTAAAAAAAAAAAAAATGGTAATGTTACCTTGGAGGAAGGGGATGGGGTTTGTAGTATACAATGAAGGCAAGGTAAAGGGAGGACATAAAGCAAAATACACGAGCTTAGTGGCAGGGTGATTGAAAGGGATTTCTAATAGCAACACGGCATTCTGCAGTGGAGTGTACAATTGACCTAACCCTTCTCCCTTGCTTCTCCCTAAAAAAGAATCACTCCCCAGCTCAGTTGGAAGCTGATTATTCTCACTAACCTTGTGAATGAGTATTCAGCAGTGGACGTTAACATGACCCGTTAACCCACCAAAATGTGGTGAGAAGTGGTATGCCACTTCAAGTGAGAGCACAAAATCAGAAGCGATTCAACACTCAGGTCCCTCTACTGCAGAAACCAGCATGTCCCAAATGACGTTTGGGTTATCCTGTGTGTCAAGCAAAATGGGAAGTACATTTCTCCCTCCCGTGCTGCCAACGGACACAGAATAAAACACTCTTCTTCTCAATCAGCTATGTGGAGGGACTGTGTATTGCACCCAGATGACACTGGTCCAGTTTACCAATCCTTCTCACCTGCACTACCACAGAAGTGTCCTGCCTCATCAGTAGTACCTTGCATTCCATTCTCTAGACCGTACCTCATCTTTCAAATCCAAATCACATCACTACCTGGATTACAAACAAACTCAAGGTCTCCATCTGCTGCCCTTCCTAGGCTCTCATTACCCTCCTCCACTTATAATCTCAATTAGCCACACTAGGTTCCTGAACACACCATGCCTCCATACTTTCGCCAATATTGTCCCATTCATGCAATGTAACTCCCAAGACCAGAACCTCTGTACCCTAAGCTACAGCAAGCTCTTTACTTTCCCTATTACCACGCTATTTGACAGCACTTTCCTAGTAATAGTAGGAGCTAGCAAGGGAAAGTTAAAACTGCTGTGCCTTTCATTCGATGATCCAAACACAGGAAACAGTAGTAGTTTCCTTTTGGAACAGGTGCCATCATTTTATACTTAGTGTGTACATGTAGAGCACTCCGAGAGTCACAGCAGTGCATGTGTCAGAAGTGGTGCTCTCCTCTGGGCAGCCACACATACATCTCTGACTGCTGGAATCTATTGTGCAGAGAACCGACAGTGAAACATTGCTAAATTTAAGTTTTTAAATGTAATTTAAAATTTTTTTATTAATCTTATAGGGGGGCATGCACACATGATATTGGAGGACAACTTGTTTCTTTCCTGCATATGGGTCTAAGGATCCAAATCAGTTGTCAGGCTTGGTGGCAAGTGGCTTTACCTGCTGAGCCATCTGGTGGCCCTAAGCATAGATTTTTAAACACAAAGTCTCCATGCAACAAAGTATTCAAGGTTACCAAACTCAGTCACCACTCTATACTCAAAACTCCTGACAAACTAGCCTCATTTTATTATTATGCAAAATGATTTTGACTATTATTTTTCCCATGTAGTTTCAAAGCTGGAAAGACTATCATTCAGTGGTTGTTTAAAAAAACAGACAATCTGTGGTAGTTTTTCAGCCATTGGTCTACTATCATTCATCTTCAAAAATCTCATGTGGGAGTTAAGATTCACATGAATATTTTGTCACTGATCATGAGCTAACCCGAGAAAAACAGCAAAAACCTGCTAAAATTAGACCGACTATACAGCTGTTCTCAAATACACTTTGGAACTGTGAAAAAATTGTCATGATTTGGCATCAAGATAAACGGGGAATTGCCCCACATTGGGAAACAAGTCTAAGAAAGCAAATTAATGGACAAACTAATAAAAAAAATGAATTTTGAAGATTTACTTGTGCCTTACTTTTTCTTCTACTGATATTGAATTTAGCTCCATCTCTTTCAAGTAGTTTTCACGTTGGCAGGTGAATTACCAATTTCAAATACTTCTGAATTAATGTAGATACTAAAAACTACAAATTTCAGCCCAACATGTCTTTATGATGTATTTAGCATGCTAGGCTTCAGCAGTTTCATTATCTAGCAGTTTCAAGCTTCTTTTAGCACTCTGCCTCACTGGCTTTTTAAAGAGTTATTTCTTCTATCAGTTAATCTTCAAGTTTTTTATAGCAAGCTCATTTTCTTAAGATCAAAAGTTACTTTGGATGACCAAACTTTTGAAATCTATCAAGATTCGAGTTGTGGCCTAGCATATGGGCCATTCTGAAGAATGTACATTCTGCAGTTGTTGAGTGTTCTTCTATTTGTCTAGTGGTTTATGTCATGATCAAGATGACAATCTCTTTTTAAATCATTTCTGTGGACAGACTTTACACTATTAAAAGCTGGCACACTGAAGTACCAAGCAGTTGTAGAAATGCCCACTTTTCAGTTCTATTCTAATTTCATAAATTTCTGCTCTTTGGGTGGGTGCACTTGCATTCACACATATTACATATTCTGTTACTGAATTGTTTCAGATACCTTAAATAACATTTACAATGTTATAATTATGTTTTCAATAAAATATTTATATTATTAAAAAAAAGAATTCAAGTGCATTAGATCCTCGTGGCCACAAAGCATTTAAACTGCCTCATACCCCACATTATGCTAGTGGCCCTTTTACAATCTCATTTCTACCAAGGATGCCACTTTAGAGAAAAAAAGATTAAGGGATTTATAAAAGAGCATCCATAAGCTGAGCATGGTAGCACATGTCTGTAGTCCCAGCACTTGGGAGGCAGAGGCAGGCGGATCTCTGTGAGTTCAAGGGCAGCCTGGTCTACAGGACAGCTGGGGCTACAGGGAGACCTTGCTTCAAAAAAACAAAACAAAACAAAAAAAGAGCATCCATTTAAAACATCAGAGATCATTTTATATGTAACAGAAACCAGCTTCCACTAAATCATTCAAATTTTAATTAGCAGAATGGGTTAATTACAAGCAGTAGTTAAACAAAGATGAAAAACTGACACACAGGAAAAACTCTTAGGTAACCCAAACATGAGAGCTATTTATTTACCTTCTCCAAATACCTAACTTAACACCAAGATGGCGCGTGCCTTTAATCCCAGCCATTGGGAGGCAGAGGCAGGTGGAGATCAAAGTCAGCCTGGTCCACAGTGACTTCCAGTTGGGTTGGTTGGGACTAGGAAGACCCTGTCCAAAAAAAAACACCCAACAAAAAGAAATACCTACTTAATCTCAGTTGGCTATAGCTGCTAGAAATGAGAAACTTCTTTCTCAAAACACCAATTCTGAAACAAGGCAATGCCATCTCCCCTCATCTGGGGACATAGATCAATGTCTAGGACTGATGCTGGAAGCTACAACCAGAAAGGAGTGGTACTGGTACTTGCACCTAGAAATCAGGATGATGCTATCTCACAATGCACAGCACATCCCACAATACCAAGTCCAAACTCTTAACAGTGTCAAGACCAAAATTCTTATCTAAACTAACATGAATTTTTCTATTGCAGTATAAATTCTGAAGGAAAACATGAATTTCATTACTAGAGAACCAGTTTATTTCTGCATCTCTTAGGAAAAGCCTAACTTAGTTTACATATAGCAATGATTGCAAGCAAGCAAATACATGTCCTTTGAAAATGCTACACTAGGGTTACAGGTAACCAGCATCAGATACATTTAGCTGCTCTCACCTAGTAAGCAGTTGGGACTTTTGTGTTTAAATGTGAAATATCTATGAAACAAGGTAATCAGCTTTTCAGAGTAACAGATTATTACAGACTAGTAAGAGATGGGACTGCCATGGCATCCATAGCCTTTTATTTTTGTGTGTATATGTGAGCATTCAAAATAAAAGTCAATGAACATCAACTGTTAACCAACAATGGCTAAATATACTAATCCCCATACTAATCTGCAAAGAATTCTATTTCAAGTAAGTATTCTCCCCTCCTTTCTTATGACGACCTGAGGAAAACAAACATATTCAATCACCACAGATAGAGATTGACATCAGAATTTAAATCAGAATTTAAAGGTCTGAAAGTCAAGGTACTAAGGCTCCAACACAGATCTACTAAACCATTCAGAAATCTGATAATACAGGTCCAAGAAAGCACAATCATATCCATCACCTCTTTGGTAGTTTCAATTAAGGTTGGCTTTTAAAATGCCCTATAAAAACTTAACCCTTTTTGGGACTCAAAGATAGCTTTCTAACATAAACAGAAAAAACATATTCCTTTCAGTATGCCCTATGCCCTATGCCCTAAACCACAGTACAGGTCTTCACAAAATCTTTATTAGCATTAATAGTAAAAAAAGCAACTTACTGTATTGGAAAGGAAGAATATATGATTTCATTTTGTTTTTCTTAACAGCTTTATCTGGTGAGCTTTTAATAGCTGGTGGCCAAATACTTCCATTCTCTTCCATTTTTACAACCACAAGTACAAAGGAATTTTAGGCAACTGAAAAGTCAGGTAAAATAAGAATAATGTAGCTTTTTTTCCAAACAGTAAATGACCTGTTATCATCATGTCAATTTTCCATTCCATAGGAGATTAAACAAGATTTCAAAAAAAGGTATGAATCAGGGTAGGAACAGCTTGAAAATTAAGATACAATTTAAAACATGAGTTGGAATTCAGATTTTACTTTTTGAAAATTTTAACTTTCATATCCAAATATCAGAAATTAATTTGACAAATTATATTTTTCATCCCGTTTTTTTGAGAATCTCACTATGTAGCCCAAGCTGGCCTTGAACTCATGATCCTCCCTTTCCTGAAAATTTGCAGTGAAAGTTAATATGGGCAAAAAAATATTACTTCAATTACAAAACATCACCATACACTGTCATGTAACGGAATGCATGACATTCTAAGGACTTACAAACAAGTTAAATGAATTCTCCCAAAGCTGAAGGTTTTACATACTTCAGCATTTTGAACTTCAATCATGACTTCATGTCTGAAGCTGAGCTAGATAGAAAAACATCAAAACATTCTCTAGAGGTGGTTAATTATATATACCCGTGTTATCTGTTTATCCAAGAAATGTATAGATAAAAAGGACTAATTTGGCTGTTAAATTACAACTAAATAAAAATTATGTAAATATACAAAATTTTTAAACAAGTCACCATATTCCAACCTTTTAAGAATTCTAACTTCTAATAGTTAAGCAAGTTTCAGATATCATTAATAAAATATATGATTAAATAGTATCATTCAATTTTACTGACATTATAAGTAACTTCTTAGGTTAAGGCTCTACTAAACCAAATTTCCTTTCTTCCTAAGTTTTACATGCATGACAACATAAACTCAAAACTCAATCCATACTGGGTTTTCTTTTTTAAAATCCAGATTGCCTTTAATCCCAGCACTCAGGAAGCAGAGGCAGGCAGATCTCTTTGAGTTCAAGGCCAGCCTAGTCTACATAGTGAGTTCCAGGCCAGCTGGGGCTACAGTGAGAACCTGTCTCAAAAAGATCAAAAAGTAAAGAAAAATCCAAATAACACTAAACTAATTTAAATGTGTTAAAACTGGCAAACAGCTTGCTCTTCCTACGGACTTGTAGGAACCTCTACGCGGAGAAGCTCCTACCTTCTCTAGTCAGCATTATGAGTGGCAGGTAGTGTGCCTGGACTCTTCACCTTGCTACCTCCACTCCAATATCTGAACCACAGTATTACTAGAAGTAGTAACTGAACTAGTATGACTCAGCATTTAACGCCTCCCCAACCCCCATCATCCTTCTGACATCAATTTTGTTGTGTATGTATAGGCAAATTAACACTAAAACCGTTAGAAGTAGTATTTTTCTTCAGTACTACAAGAATTTAGCTATTCAGGAAAATGAGCCAATTTGAAAGACTTAAAGAGTACGCATCCTGAAGTTAAAAACAAACTAAGGAAAAATCTAATCAAAACATCTGGGTTTCACCGTGGGTAATTAACCAAGTCATTCACAAAACATATGCCTGTCAAAAGTCTCCTATTCAGTCCAAGAGCCTACAGTATTGAGATTTATTGTGAAACCATGTAACCAAAACTTAACTATATCCACAACTTATACCATGGTAATACACAGTACACAATAAACTAACACCTCAAAATAAATTCCTATTATACCTTTATGCAAATTACGGTGTAAAATTATCTGCCATATTCTAATACGGCAGAAACCTCATCTAATGTTCCATGTCAAGTCCTCACTAGTAGCACTGTGTTCTGAATTGTCATCTGAACATTCAAAATCAAGCTGTTAATATACTAACCACAATATGTTATCAACTAAAACCACTGCATATTTGATTGTTATAGTACGTAAGTACTACAGCAGGAAAAGTACTTCTAATTCACAGTTTGAAATATAAGGATGCAGTTTTCAAATATCTGATTACTTGAAAATGGTCACTCAAGTTAACTGCCTCCTTCAATACATGTAAACTATTTTGCACAGCATAGGAGATGTCTTTTATTTCAGAATAGTTCTTCTGGTTACAGGAGCACCACGAATTTGAGGGAAGAGTCTACAGTGTGAAATGAGCTCACTGAATGAATGTCAGATAAAATTTCAACCACAACAGAAGGTAACTGCAAAAGCTTTTCTCCCCCAGCACAGATCCCTTGATCAGGAACCTAGTTAACACTTACCAAATACAATACGTAAATTAACTCTACACACATGGAGAAAATCTATTTCAACTAAAGAAAATATTAGCTAACAAACCTGTGATAGCTGGTGTCAGAAACTTCCTAATAACAAAATTCAAAGCATAGATAAAATTTTTATCCTTCAATAATAAATGCAGACATCCAACAGGAATGAATAAAGTCTGGCTCTGAGAACTTCCAGGTAGAGATACACGCACACAAACATGTAGCTGAGAAAAACTAAGTATTTAAATGTGTTGAGACAATTTATAATAGAAAAAAGTCGCAAATTGTTACTGTGACTTGAATTGCTACTGTGACTTGAAAACACTGGCAAATAAGCATTGGCAGTAAGAAAACCAGCTTCAAAAATTTACTCCTCTCACCATATCGATAATGTGCCTCCTCTCACCATATCGATAATGTGCTTCCTGTGCAAAAAATAAATGCCTGAAAATTGCATTAATACTTATTTTAAGATGTATTATTAATAATCTACACATGCTGTTTTATAGACAATACGTATTTATAAACCTGTTCATGCAAAATTAGTGTGTGCAATAGGAATACAACTGTTCATACTATCTTTGTTAAACTGCCAATCCCCCTAAAATGTAACAAGTCTTATATGGATGTTCTCTGCCAGTTAAAAATCAATTTATGTTGCCGAAAGAGTTATACAAGAAAACATGGTTTTGTCTTGCAGAAATTTTGATTTTGAAATGAGAAAATTTATAAAACAAAGAAATTCATGGTCACAAAATTTTAACATTTTAATCCTACACATTATAGGGCAAACAGATACTGGACCCTAGCTCCACATTCCATAAATCCTAACTTAGTTTCCATTTTAAATGTTGCACTAACCACTAGAACATTAGTGGTTTTACAACTTTGGATTATGGAAATACAGATTTCTGAAGTAAATGCTACAAAACAACATTGGAAGAAAGCTGAACAAACTCCATGAAGGAAAAAAAAGTGGAACATTCTGAAGCTTTTAGACACTTTCTCTTCCCATGTCTTATGATTAAGTTGTCAATTCAGTGCATTGTAGGTCAAATGGAATGGTCCCCATGTTGAACAAGCATCTAACTAGTGTCCATCGATTCCAGATTCGTGGATGATGAATCTTTTTGGATACTTTCAAAGATGGCTGCCAGTTCAGGGTTAGAACTGATCTGTGACTGGAATTCACTCATGAGTGGACTCTTCTCTGCTTCTGGAATGGTCAGCAGCGCTGCTACTGCCCTCATGGCAGATCGCTTTAACTCATCTTGCTTTTCAAACTCTTGCTTTACTGAGTTTGCCTTGACCTGTAATACAAAGTACGTTTAGATTACATGCTATAACGTACAGTTCTTACATCAACAAAACTTACACACAGGAATTCTTGGTTAAGTACTCTCTCCTACTCCTAACTCTCCTGTACATCCAAAAGGCACCCTGTAAATACAGTGAATACTGAACAGCCTTTCAAAAACACTAGTGTACCAGAAATTTTTTGTTGCTATTGCTGTTTTTGTTTTGAGACAGGGTCTCCCTATAGCCCCAGCTGGCCTCGAACTCAGTATGTGGACGAGAGTGGCCTCTATCTCACAGAGATTTGCTTGCCTCTGCCTCTGGGATTAAATGCATGCAAGACCACGCTGGTTAGCTGTCTCCTTCTAAGGGAATATTTTACACCAGCCCTATTCTAAAGATTGAAAATCCAGGCCCACTTACTTGAAACAAAGAGAGAGGGAACTTTGGCCCCTACCAAGAAACCAAGAGAGACATCCCTAGGCCAACGTAATTGATTCTAAATATGCATTCTCATATTTACAGACAAATGTACTTTTCACCCTTCATCAAAGACACTTCTTTTTGCAACAGATGGAGATTACAGAATTCCAGAACTGGTCAAACCAGAGAATAAGTGTCTATGAGACACTAGCCCTAAGAGATACATCTTCAATGCAATTTCTACACTTAAGATAAATGCCATCTCTTAACTCTCACCAGAGAAGTTTCCTTATGCAGCAGATGGTGATTAACACAGAAACCCACAATTACCAATGTGCAGAGAACAAGAGACTGCAGAATGAATACTTATCCCTGATCAGGACACCTATTTCAACCCTCTGCCTCCCAAGGTTCAGAGATCATGGCAGAAGAGGAGGCAGAAAGATTCTAAGAGCCAGAGGTAGTGGATGACCATAAGGAAGCAGTTTTCTAGACAGTTGGTCATTTACCCATATGAACTCATGCACAAGTCCTATGCAAGCTCAAATCCAACAAAATCCCAGTATAGACATACAGAAGCAAGAAATTCCATGCCAACCTAAGGAACTTTTGGCAACTGATGGCTGCTGGGAAGGGGGAAAAGACAGTGTCTTACAGGGATGAGATATTTGGTGGGTGGACCCATGGATTGACCCACACTGAAGGACATCTGGAAACACAAATTAGACTCTATAGGCATTATTATATATATAAATATAAGTATGTGTATATAATAGATTACATTTTATATTACATATATATGAGTTCATTAAATTGGGCAAAGGGTAGTGGGGGGGGAGTACTGAGAGAGAAGTAGATCTAAATACCATTAAGAACATAACAATAACATCAAACTATATTGTATGTTAATTAAAATAAGAAAAAAAGTTCATGGTCATAAAGTTTTAACATTTACCTTAGTTGTACATGTAGCACGTAGTGGTTCAACAAGTCGGTCCAACCTTTGGAGTACTGCACTTGGACAAAGGGTAGAAAGTCGCACTAACATTAAAAATGTTAGCATCTATTAGGAATAAAAATTGATAAAATTAGCCTTGACATTTTTCTTAATTTTTCTAAAATTTATTTTTATTTTATATGTATGGGTGTCTTGTAGTGCCCTAGGAGGACAGAAGAGAGTGCCAGGTCCCTTGGAACTGGAATTAAGATAGTTGTTAGCTGCCATGTGGGTGCTGGAATTTGAACCTGGGTCTTCTGAAAGAGCAGTGAGTGCTCTTAATTACTGAGACATCAATACAGATGTCCAAGATTTGACATTTTTCTAATGACAAAAACACTAAATTCTGACAAACCTTTTTAAAGTAAAATTACTAGTATGCAAAACAAAGCTTCATTTAATGTCATTTGCCACTCAGAATCACAGATTCATTTCAAAACTTTATCTGAGGTTAAGTGCTAAGGAGACTTCAAATACTGTATGGTTCTAGAATACAAAACTAGAAAACTGGTCTTTAATTTTGGCTGCACATTAGAATCACCTGGGAAATTTTTAAAACACACCAATTCCTCAGTCCCATCCCCAGAGAGTATTATTTCACCTGCCAGGATGAAACAAGAGATTCAGTATTTCTAAAAAAAAAAAAAAAAGCTCATGTGCAACAGAACTGAAATTCACTTAACTAGAAAATTAATAAACTAAAATTACAATTTATAAGTTTCTACTTTTTCATCAGATTTTTAGGGTGGAAGGTTACTATGATTCAAATTAATACATACAAAACCTGAAACATCTACATAAAATAACTCATAATTATCTTTCCCTTGGACTGTAAGTTTATAGAATTACTTCATAAAAGTGGAAATTCTGGTACTATGGCTCAGTTACTGCTCGGCAGCCACTTCTGCTCTGCTAGGCCAAAGGCCCTAATGGAAAAGATGAAAAGGACATGATTAATTTACTTGTTTTATTTTTAAGTTACCCTTTTATTGTCATATTAAAAATGGAAATGAGCAAGCAGAAAAACAAGAGTTATACTAAGCAAAATCCATGCTCAGAACCCTAAGAAGCTGTATGAATCCTCTCTAATTGCTTCTACGGATCGTTTTGTATATCTGAAAAGACATTCTTCCCAGGTTATCCTTTAACACAATTCTTGATATTCAAAATATATCCTGTACTGAAAGAGCAAAGTATATCCTGTAAGAAAAAGCTATCCTTTAGCCTAGGCCCAAATACAGTCCAAGAAAACCAATCAAGACAATATATGGAAACTGAAAAAGCTGTCCATGGGAAGCAACTACAGTTTGCCATCAAGACAGGCTTAAAATGCCACAGATTTGCACTTTGAGCAGCAAAACTTATCTGGATTCTTTTGAGAGAAAGAATATAGTAAGGACTGTTCATTAAGCAAGCTGGAACTGCAGCTCTTAAAAGTTCTGGGTCTACTTCCTTTTTTTAAAAAAAAAGGGAGGAGGGTTTGAATAATTCTTGTGTATCAACTGATGTCACAATGTCTTTTTGCTACTTGTGCATTACAGTTTATAAGATGCATACTAAAAAATTTGATTAAGTCTAATTTTTCTTACACGTAATAAAACTACACAAAAAAATATAAGCACAAAAGTTGTTAAAGTTTTCTAAAACATTCTATAAACATTCACAAACATCTTACCTTAATATCATAATGGTCCTTCAAACCATCTTCAACATGATTTAGAAATTCGAAGATATCTAGTCTATCAAGACAACTGTCTAGAAGTGTATACATACACTCAAAAGCTGCCTTTCTAATATCTAGACCGTCGTCAACTGTGTGTTTAAATGGACCCATTTCTACCTGTTAAAACAAAAAGGAACATTCAAGTATATGACATTTAAAAAGACAAGCTGAGATAAATATTGTAACCTAACTTACCTCTCTTATAAGTTCCTTCCTAACTTTTGTTTCATTGTAAAGATGTGGAAGAACAGAATCCAAGAGATCCCTTATTAGTGATGGTTTGTTGTGGGCTGCAGAATTGAATGTGACCAAGGCTACTCTTCTTACATTCAAATCTGGGTCTTCCAAGGTTTTTAGGAAATCACCTGAAAAGTAGGAAGAAAATAGCATTAAGGAGTGCTGGATAACATCAGTTGTCAACTTGACACACCTCGGAAGAGATAATCTCAACTGGGGAATTTCCTCTATCAAACTGGTCTGTAGGCATGTCTGCAAGGCATTTTCTTGATCGCTGAGTGATACAGGAGGGCCCAGCATGCTGCGGGTGGTGCCACCCCTGGACAGGTGATTTGGGGTTGTATAAGAAAGCAGGCTGAGCACAGGCCAGAGGATCAAGCCAGGGAGCAGCATTCCTCTGCCTTGGCCACCTTTGATGATGGACTGTGAGCTGTTAGCCAAATAAACCCTTTCTGGTTTGGCCCAGTGTTTTATCAGTGCAATAGAAAGGACATAAATAAACTAAAAATATAATACACCCAGTATTTTTCTAAATTGATTTAGTTTATGGTTGTTGGCATTATTGGTATTTATTCAATTAAGGTCATAGAAGAATTGAATTAAATACTAAGTGAACCAAAAGTTTATTTCAGAAGCATGATAACTATCATTTATCAACATATACACATTTTCAACTGATAACCCACTCTTGGCACTATAATGTGAAGGAAATATAGAGTCGTCCCTAAAATTCTTCAGTTACTGCCTTCACAAATACTTTATAAGTAGTGATTAACAGGTATAGAACTAATCAAATTAAAGAGAAGTATACCTCCCCAAGTTCTACCAGTATTTTCAATAAGAAACACATGAATTAGTAAGAGCATCAATGTGTAAGAGGAGGAAACTGAGACCTAACAGGACCAATGCCAAGAAGGCAACTAGCTACTTAACAAACTAATTTTTAAGTCTGATATTTTGTAAGTATGGGGAAAGGAATTTAAATGCAAAAGTCCTTAAAGACACACAGATCATTTTCCACATTAAATGAGTAGCTTTGGGCAGGTACTTTAGTCAAGAGCTTGGTTTCCCAATCAATAAATAAGGATTAAGCTTTCAGGGTCACTGAGCAGAATAAAAGCATGCGAATTATTGAATAGTGTGCTGGATAGCTTTAGTTGTCAACCTGACACACCTGGATCTCAGAGGGAGCCTCAATCGGGGAATTGCCTCCTTTGGACTAGCCTGTGGCCATGTCTGTGGTACATTTTCTTGAGTGTTGAGTGATTTGGGAGTGGGTGGTACCACCCTTGGGCAGGTTGTTCTGTACTGTCTAAGAAAGCAGGTTGAGCAGGGGCCAGGGAAGCAAGCCAGTAAGCAGTGTTCCTACATGGCCTGTGCTCCAGCTCCTGCCTCCAGGTTCCTGCACTGAGTTCCTACCTTGGGCTCCCTGATGAACTGTGACCTGGGAAATATAAGCCAAATAAATCCTTTCCTCCCCAAGTTAGTATTTGTCAGAGTGTTTTGTCACAGCAATCAAAGAACAAAGTATCTGACAGACAGAACTAACTGATAAAATGAGGTGTAACACAATCGATACTATAATGCTGGTAAACTCAATGTCAATACCCAAGAAATTTCCAGCATTAACTTAAAAAAGAAAAAAAAAAGTTTAGATGATAGTATGGTTTGAAATATAACTTTGAAATGTACCAGACTAATCTGCTCCACCAGTTTGCTAATACTAAACTAGTAGGTTAGAAAGTTATTTAGAAACATGTATTTGCTGTCAGCCAAGCATCTAAAATATTGCTATCATCATGGACAAAATAGTGTCACAGACTAGATCAATGGTTCTCAGTTCCTGGAATTTTAATTTTTAGCTTCTTAGGTGATTCTAATGCTCAAATGGTCCAATGCTGTACTTAGAAGTATACAATTAGAACGATAACCACTAGATTGAATAACGATACCAAAGATCACATGACTACCATGAACTTGAAAGCACAAGATTAAGCTCTGAGGGGTTTGGGCTATTATTAATGTTAGGGTAACCAGTGATGATAATAAAACATAGGATTTATAAAACTGTAAGTAATTTAAGAAGCTTAACTCTTAACAGAAATAAAGATGGCTCCAGTATTTCTTGGGCATCTCCTCTTCTCCTGGGAAATGGCATGAACCAACTTTCCTTTTTTATTCTTAGGTTATCTCCATGGACCCTCTTAGGATTTTAAGTAACAATTAAAAAATTGGGGCTCTAACAGCTCAAGTAAGATTAATTTACATCAGGAAGAACATGTGACTGGTCAGACAGATGTAACATCTTTATATTTTGTTCATTAAAGCTGTTTTAGGTCAACCTGTAGACCAGGTTGGCCGCGAACTAACAGAAATACACCTGCCTCTGCCTCCCAAGTGATGGAAGTGCTGGGACTACAGGCGTGCACCACCACACCCAGTCTAACAGAGTAAATTTTCAAAAATATAATTTTTTAATGCTGTAAAATCATACATTACCAATGATCTTCATAATGAAACAATAACTTTATGAGCATTTTATTCCTCAATAATAAAATTTCTTAGTACTGGTCTGTTACTGAAATTAATAGCTCCTTGACAATAACTCTGTACTTTCCCAAAGCGGTTAGGCAGTTTCTGTTTCCACTCACCTATGCAGTTCTTTAACAATGGATCAATAGGTTGAGGATGATCAGAAATAGTAAACTTCACAGCTGTAACCACTGAGCTTCTCGCATATGATGAGCCTAATCAAAAATAAATTGCAAGTCTATTGAGTGTGTATGGATGGCATTTCTAAACTATTTCACAAAATACCAATGTCTTCAATCTTTTAATTCTCTTTGGTCAAAAAGGAAGTTTCTTCTAGCTCTCAGAATATTAAATGAATAGTTTCCTTATCTTAAAAGAAGGCAATCTCTTTAGACTTCAAAAGAAAAAAACTGTCTTTTATGAAGGAGATGACCCAGGGAAGCAGCAAGAGAGGACCTAATCCTTATACAAGAGACTGCTTAAATTCTATAAACAGCTTATAAAATTATTTTTTTATTAAATGATATATTTATATTTTAAAAATGAATAACCATGACTATCTTTTATTTGGTCTAATGGGGTGAACACTGACAAATCTAAAATCGCTTCTAATTTCTTGCATTTATATTCAACACTCAAATTTAAATATACTTAGTACTATCAAGGTCTTTCTATTGTAGCAATTCAAGAGCTGCTTTTCTATGTTTTAAGACAAAATAGTAACACTAAAATATAGTCAGCAAGAGGAATTAGATCAGATTTAACTTGGCCTTTATATATACACTGTTTTTTTAATTTAAAATTTTATTTTATGTTGCATGAGTATTATGCCTGCATGTATATAAGTGCATCCGTGTTTTGCAGCGCCCACAGAGGACAGAAGGTAACGATCCCCTTGAACTAGTTATGGACAGTTGTTAGCCACCATGTAGGTGCTGGGATTTGAACCCAGGTCTTCTCCAAGAACAGTCAGTGCTCTTAATCACTGAGCCATCTCTCCAGCCCTATGGCTTTTATGCATATATATAAAAAAAACCAGATTTTGGTTCCTCATTAGACATCTTTAGAGGCAACTAACTGTCAATAAACTTTTATATGTAAGAAAATCTAGGGGCTGGGGATTTAGCTCAGTGGTAGAGCGCCTGCCTAGCAAGCACAAGGCCCTGGGTTTGGTCCTCAGCTCCAGAAAAAAAAAAAAAGAACATCTAGACACTTACCTGATATTAAATACCCCTTAAGGCGTGGAAGGAGAGTTTCTGGATCTATAAGAGTGAGTTTTCCTAGACATTCAGCAACAACGTTTCTGGTGCCTTCCTCTGCACACTCACAGTGCTTTAGCAGCAAAGCCCAGATGTTTTCAACGTATGGTTTAAGGCCCACCACTGACGCAGAGCTAATAATTTCCTTCAAAGAATGAAGCAGAAGATACTGCCTTTTGGGTTGACTGGTTATTTCTTGTAGAACAAATGGCAGATACTCAGGAAGGTTGCCCACACTAATGCTGCCTAGTGCATAGGATGCAGCTGATTTCACTTCTTCACTAGGAGATGAGAAAGCTTCTAATATTACAGATTTTAACTCCAATTGCCCACTCAAGTCAATATGATGTCCAACTTCTCCGAGAGAAAGGAGAGCTAAGAGACGAATGGAATCTGTAGACCTTGAGTTCTTGACATCTTGAATAAACTGACCTACTACAGCCGGTCCCTCTTTAGGGCACGCTCGAGTTAGGGCAGCTACACATTTGGCAATGGAATAGTAAGACTGCTTATGAGTAAGGGCCGTGTTCTGAGAGTAAACTGGACCAGTCAGCATGCGCAACAAATCCATGTATCCTAGATTATTTGTTCCAGTGACAACCAGAGCTTGGAAAAAGTCTAGCATGGCACTAAGAGCTCCTCCCTGCAATAAGGGTGATCGCACAAGTCCAATCAGTTCATTGAGAATGGATCCACTTATCTTTGAAAGGGAGGAGGGATATACTTTTGCCAGTGTAGTAAGAAAACTGATAGCCATCTGTGAAACATGCATATCACTTTCGCTAATAAGAGGAGGAAGCTCATCTAGAACTGCATCAATCATGGCAGCTGTCAAGCTGTCACTATAGTTTTTAATTAGAATATCTAGGGCAGAAAGGGTACCCAGTTTCAAAGCTCTCTGATTTTTCCTAAGAAATGAAGCAAGGATAGGAACTCCTTCTCCCAGGACAGGCCTCAAATCTATCTTCAAAGGTGACCCAGCAATCAGTGTCAATGCCTTCACTGTAGTTAACCGGGTAATTTCATTCTTTAGTCTCTCCAGGAAAATCTGAAGTGTATTTGATAGGTCAGGACCCAAATTGTCTCCAAGGTTGCAAATAATTTGTCCCATACACGAAATAGCCCTTTCTTTGACTTCCTGATCAATATCAGCTGCTTTTAACCTCTTAATTGTACAAGTAAATAGATCTTTGATGTAAGGAGCGGCATCAAATGAGGAAGGCTGATCTAAAGGACGGATTACTTTGACAAGCTGCTGAGTAACAAGAAGTGCTTCTGATGTAATCTTGTAAAATGGGTCTCCAACGCAGGCCACCACTGGAGGCACCAAAGCCTGAACGTGAGGATGGAAAACTTGAGGAGAGTGGTTACAGAGGATTACATACAGACACGATAATGCATCAATCTTCAAATTCGATGAGCTGGATTTATCATTCAGCGAGAAAATAATTCCTGAAAAGCCAACAACAACAAAATCTAATCATTTCTGTGCAGCTTTTAAAAAGAAAAAAATTAAAATCAAACTCTAAATGATTGCTAAATATTTCATCTGCATTATATTACCTCTAATAAAATGGTAGACATTTTACAATCTGTACAGCTAAACATTTTAAGGTAAAGTTTTACCTTTTCTACTTAAAATACCCAATTTTTTTTGGTTTTATTTTGGTCTTTTTGAGACAGGGTCTCCCTATAGCCCCAGCTGGCTTGGAACTCACTATGCAGACCAGGCTGGCCTCAATTTCACAGAGATCTACCTGCCTCTGCTTCCCAAGTGCTGGAGTAAAGGCACACGCCACCACACCTGGCCACAAATATCTGATTTTCATGTGTTCAAAAGAGATTAAAAAGTTCTAGGTACAAATTTCCCTTTTAACAGTAACAATTATTTAACTTTACCTAAGTGTTAAAATATAAAAAGTGTTAAGTACCCAAAGAGACTGTGCTTTACATACCTGGTACAAGTACAGGAATGTGTTGTGTTAACGCTCCAGGTAATACATTTACCAGTTCAGTTAACATGTTAAAACAACACTGTCGGGTCTTCACACTCTTTTCTTTCATCTGTTTATGCAGAGCTTTAACAATGTTGGGAACCTGTAAATATTATATACTCATTAGCTGCTTGATCCCTTGGTATTTCCTCTACATATTTAATATAATTGTAAGAAATGAGCAGAAAGAGAAGAATTTGTCTTTGGGGGAGGGTTTACAATCCTAATTCGGTTCTCCACTGCTACTGCAAAAACACAGGCATTACTGGCTACAATCCAAGTTTACTATACATATTATATATCTATATATTGTCCTATAACTGTTTGCTTGATACCAAGCAGAAGTGTCCTGATAAGTAACAAGTCTGCACTGATTAAAATAGTATTTTTCTTTTGTCTTTTTTGAGACGGGGTCTCTCTGTAGCCACAGCTGGCCTGGATTCCCTATGGAGATCAGGCTAGCCTCAAACTCAGAGTGATCTGCTTGCCTCCACCTCCCGAGTGCTGGGACTAAAGGTGTGAGCCACCACGCCTAGCATCTGGCTTTTATCTTTTAAAATCTGCTTTGCAATCCATAAAGACAGAGGGAAGTACCAGGTATAATAGATCATGCCTGTAATTTCAACTCTTGGGAACCAGAGGCAAGAGGAATGCTAAGAGTCTGAGGCCAGCCTGGGCTATAACATGAGACCATTGCAAAACAAAGCGAGCAAGCCTACAACTGCTAAGGGGACAGCATATGAGTAGAAACATGTCCAAAAGGAACACATATTCAGTAAATGGGTGCTATAGAGCTTTAATGTTTAGGGACTTGGGAAAAAAAATGCCAAGTGAAAAACATGCATATAATCAGTAACAAGATCTGTAGTCAAGCACTTACTATTTAGTAAACCCTACAATGAAACTCTACACAGATCATTTCATCTGTCACAACTCTAGGTAACTACCTCTAAGTAAACTCTTATTACAAACAAATGAAAGCAAGGTTTAATAAAATGAGTAACTTGTCCAAGATCACACAATTTAAAAGTGAAGCTGGCTACAAGATTCCACAGCTATAAGATTTCTCCACTAATATCAAAGATAATTTACCAAATCTTAAAGAATACTTAAATTACCGCACCAATGCAAACCCAGGCAGACAAAAAAGCCCAGCATAGAACTGAGGACATGGACAGCTGACCCCAATCTTAGCTGAAGAAATACTGGCAACCGATTACTGCTAGATGAGGAAGAGCTGATCTTCCTAAAGCAAGAGACTCTAGAGAGGCTGACTAAACCTCAGTGGATAGACATGCACAGGGGAACATCTGGGGACACTGACTTGACACAGTGGGCCTTAACGTAGACAACAGAGTATATGGATTCCAGTGGGGATGCTATGGGAGGGTTCCGGTGGGGATGGGAGTATAAAGATGTTTAAGATTGTTTGAGATATTCTGTATGAAATACACAAAAATTCAATAAAAAAAAATTTAAAAAAATAATATTTAACTACAATCAATAGTTTAGAATATGAACATCCATTTCTGTAAAGAATTCTGGAACTCACATTCTCACTTAAAAACAATTTTTAAAACACCACCGTGATGATTTTTAAAGCAAACGTGAAAACTGACCTGACTCTGAAGCATTGTTAAAGGTGTTTCTCCCTGTTCCATTGCATCAGGGTCACACAGCCAACTCTGCACAGGACGAGTTTGCTTCAAAAGAGAAAGGTATGCATGAAAAACATCTGCCTTTACATTCTCTTCACGCTCTTTAAATCTGGATATCAGTGCAGGAGAGACGGTCTTGTAGAATTCTGGAAGCATTTCATGCCTTGTGCTAACTACCGCATCCAGGCACTTAGCAGCTGCGCGTCTCACTTTCCAACTCATGTCATCATCATCACTGTATTCATCATCACTCCCTAAAGGGAAGTTTTAATGTTGAATAGGCTATTAATGATATGAAAAGCACATCATTTAATACAGAAAGTGAACTGATATTCTTAACCAAGGCAGTTAATCTAACTTTAACATATATACCAACAGGTCGGTTAAAAAATAGAACTCAAACTAGATGCACAACTTAGTTACTTATATAAATTTTCAAAAACATGAACTTCTAAAAGAAAAGTGATCATGACTATTTTAATTGGCTAAACAGCTTCCTTTATTGTGGCTAATGAACAAATCCAAACCACTCAACAGCAGGAGACAATCAACCAATGGGCAGTTATCAAATAAGCCATGAAATATATTTGTGGCTATAGAGTACACAGTAAAAATAGTTAAGAATTTCATTCTGAATATACTGTGAGAAGAATCCTGATACTGGCTTTGTGACATAGCTTTTCACTGAACTTCTTGGTGTGCTATAGGAAAAAAGATGTGTGCTTTTAACCTTTCTCAAATTTGTCTAGGGAGACTAAATCACCTTAAGAAAATGTTGCCCACTTACTAATAGAGTACCAAACTCCTAATATTTAAGTTTTAACAATTCAGCTTAGGTGCTGAGAATTTTATCTTACGTACATATTTGATAATGAATTATGTGTACGTGAACTCTAACCTGAGCAGAATAATCAGTTGGATAACTTTAGTTAGGAGGATACAAAAATATCTGTAGTTCTCATGATAGTCTAAAATATCCAACAACGGTTTTTGTAAAATTCTTAGATAAGCTGACAGCAGAGAAATGATTCCTCAGTGTCTGACTCTGTGGGTAGGCGAGTGGGGGTAACAGCACTCTACTGGTTTACATTTCAATTAGCTTAGTCAGCCAAATGCAGCTAGCTAGATCTTTAAAAATTCTAGAATAGAGAATAAAATTTTCCAATATTAATGCCATTCATCTTAGCACATTAATAGGAAAATTTAATCAAATACTGCTAAAATACAAGGCTTCAGAGTCATTTAACAATACCTATCTAAAAATTAAAAGACACTGCTAAGACAGTTTAAAAGAAAATATGTAAGTCAAGTTCTTTCTATTGTCAATACATGATGAGAGCTGCATCCAAGAAACATAAGATTTATTGAAAACATGCATATAAAAATTCAACAAATGCCTTAATCATTGAATTAGAATGACATTTACTCTATTTAGTCTATCTAACTTTAAAGCAGCTCAAGGACTTGGATTTGTTATTTAACATGAATAAGTACCGACTCTAAAAACCTGGAGTGGAAACACCTTCCTTTAAAGGATATTTACATGATAATATTGGCAAAGGTTTCTTTTCATTAATAGAACACATTTACTGAGTGATCACTACGGGTCAATCATCTTAGACACTGATTGGAACAAAGCAGTTAACCAAGAGGTTAAAATTTCTAGTCTTCATGAAGACTGCATTCTAATAGGTAGAAGAAAATCAATTACAGTATGTAAGAAAATGATTAAGTGTGACAGAATAAAAACGCTAAGGCTATGTGAAGTGAGTGGAAAGCTCTGGGGCATGAGGGATGGAGGAGCTGTTCTAACATCAATGACTGAAGCAGCAGCAGGTTTGGAAGGGATGGAGAAAAGGCGGGATAAAATATTTAGGTTGCACAATCAGTAATACCAATTAAACAGTCATACATCAACCTAGATTTGCAGCAAGAGATAAGATCTGGGTTACCAGGGTTGCCAGATTAATACTGATTTGGAGATCCATGAGAAAATTAGTGTTAGAGATAAGTATAAGAGCTCAGCCCAGTCAAGTCTACGTTTAGTGGTTAGAGATGAAGAACCACCAGAGAAGACTGATGGCAAGAAAGTGTGATATCCAGGACCCTGGGCACTGATAGTCAAACATTGCAATTCTGTCCATCACTGAAGCTACTACACTCAAGACAGAAGGGGAAGGAACTGAACTGATCCTCCTCAAGGATTTGCTTGAGGAGATCTGTTGCAGAGGAGAGAAAACAGGCAGTATATGGGGTATATGGAAAGGAATTATGGAGGGTTTCTGAAGCTGTTTATCTTTAAGATGAGTTAAATTACAGACTTTATAGGAAAGTTATTACATAACGTTCAAAGAAACAAACTAAAAAGAATAACAAAGTCCACCAAACCCACATACTTGGTAATCCACCCATTTAAATTTCTGTAATAATTCTTCCAATACAAACAAAAACAACTAACCATGAGCAAGCTCTATATCCTTGAAGCACTACCACAAATCAGTACGGCTTTAATCACACAAGCCTCAGAAATGTACATTATACAAGAACTTATTAAGCAGGGCTTCAAACAATATTTAGGATTTAGGTTTTTATTTTTGTGGTCTTGAGACAAGGTCTCCTGTAGCCTCAGCTGGCCTGGAACTCGTTATGTAAACCACAGTGAACTCACAGTGATCAGTCCGTCTGCCTCCTAAGTGCTGAGAGTAAAGGCATATTTAGGATTTTTCAACACCAACCAAGCTTCTCTAATAAATGTGTTATCTTTAGATTAAAGTAAGAAAAAATACCAATTTATCTTGCAAAATGCTGTTTAAAAAACTAACATTAATTCTGGGTTAGGGATATAACTCAGGGTAAAGTGGCTATTTACTATGCATAAGGCTCTAGGTTTGATCCCTAGCAAGGAAAAGAAAGAAAAGAACATGTAGCACTAAAAAAATCAAGTCTGTAAAATTTGCAGTTAAGAATCATCTTTCCACCTATAATACTGGTTTCTTTTATGATATTTAACAAATAGATTCCTTCTATTTAATGTGAAATACCTTGATCATCATCATCTCCACCATCAGCATCCATAGCATTTTCATCTTCATCTTCATCATCATAATTGTAATTTGGATCATAGGTAAGATATTTTAGGCAAATGTTTATAATGGTAGAAACATGAGGATAAACTTCCTTAGGACATCTAAGGGCAAAGACAGAAGCTGCTTTTAAAAAAACTGTTCTTTTCTCCTTTATTCAGTATCTGCCACACTTGGCTTCATCACTGTCAACAAGAGCGAAGTGGTTACCAGACCACTTATCTTTGTGTCCCATGAACTTCATGTTTTAAAAGATTTACCTTCCAAATTATGTTTAATTAACTTGAAGATGAGCTTCCCTACACATCTACCACATACACATCTTAACTACGATTTATGGTTAATGTAAGCACAGTATAGAGAGAACCTTAAACCACTACCATTTATAAAATTGTTACTGTACATTCAGTTAGCTAGTCTTCCCTCATTGTTTGTTGAGAGAATAGAACACATTTGTTGGCCCACAAGATCAGCAAATAAAGCAGTAATCTGTGATTCTTAATTAAAGGGACAGAAATGAATACCAGAATTTACAACTTTAAAATTCAGGTATAATAATAAAGCTACTTTCCAAAACCATGAGGGACAAGGGATAACAGCAAACAAAAACCAGCGAGATTAAGACATTATTCTATTTTACTATATTAGTCAAAAGTAAAAACTCTTGAGGCTGGAAAGATGGTTCAGTGGTTAAGAGCACTGACTGCTCTTGTAGAGAACCAGGGTTCAGTTCCCAGCATCCACATGGCAGATAATAACCATCTGTTACTCCAGTTCCAAGGGAATCCAATGCCCTCTTCTGACCACCTTGGGCACTGCATGATATGGGTGTACTTACACACATGCAGGCAATACTCTCATACACATTTAAAAAAAAAAAAGCGAAAACTCTTTTCACTCAACTAGTTTACCCAATCTGTATTAGGATTTTAAAAAATTAGAGTTAAAAGTTTCCAAATTGAGAATCATTATCTTAGCAAAACAGGTATGACAGATCTAAAACAATAGAGGTTGAGAAGGTCAGGATAGCAAAGTGGTGAGGAAGGGAGACTTGTGATGAGGCCATTTCTTCCACATCAGGTCTCTAGACCCTGGCAGTTTCCAGCAGCGCCATGTTGGGCCAGAGCATCTGGAGGTTCACCATCATAGCCACTAGGAGGAGGGCCCCAGGAAGAATTCCATTTTCAGTGGAAACCAAATTGCAGTTACTGGCTATGATGACTGTGTACATCTGGAATTTCTGCATCTTTATAGTAACGTACCAATTAAAGAAATACAGATGTTTTTAATTCACCCATTTAGCAGATATGAAGAATGTTTAAAAGCTGCAGTTTGAAGAGCTGGAGAGATGGCTCAATGGTTGCTATTGCAGAAGACATGGGTCCCAGCACCCACATGATGGCTATCAACCACCTGTATCTCAAGTTCCAGGGAATCCAACACCCTCTTCTGAGCTCTAAGAGCACTGCATATGTGAGTACACTTACATACATGCAGGCAAAACATACACATAAAGTAAAAATAAGTATTTTTAACAAGATGTAGTCTGAGATATGAATTAAATTTGAACTCTTACATTAGATATGATTGTAAATAAACTAATGATGTGGAAAAAAAGTTGAAAAGATGTGCAGTTCACTACATGTTTCTCATCAGAAAATTGACCCTGCTCTTCTGGAGATAAACTATATAAGCTATATGATTTTATTTACATTGCTTCCTTTTTTATTTTTTTGTCTAAGACTGGGTTTCCCTGTAACCCCAGCTGGACTGGAACTCACTATGTAGACCAGGCTGGCCTCGAGATCCATCTACCTCTGCTTCCCGAGTGCTGGGATTAAAGATGTGCACCACCACACCCTGCTATATTGCTTCCTTTTTAGGGGTTAAGATAAAAATTAAAAATATTATAAATGCCCTTTTCAGATTCTGTAAAGTTTAACAATAAGGAAATATTTTCAAAACAAATGTGATGACCATTTTATAATTGTAAACTAGCTTCAAATACTGTACTGGTTATCAATAATATCATGAAGAACTATTTAAAATATATCTAAAATCCTACGCTATTTCTCTACACAACTAATCTTAATTATTCCATTCTTAACGATAAACTTTCTTTTAAACATAGAGTCCTTAAAAGCTTACCTCCTCACAAATGATTCAAAGGCTTGAATGCAGTATTCTCTTAATTCATCATCATCTACATTACAAAATTTTACCACCAAAGGAATTATCTTCTCAAGGTATTCACCTAAGAAAAGCATACAGCTTCTTAAAACAATAATTTTTTTTTTTTTTTAAATTAAAAGACTATTTTGGGCAGCCAGACAATGAGATGGCTCAGTGAGTAAAGCTGCTTACCACACAGGCCTAGAGACCCAAGTTCAACTCTGAAACCCATGTAAAGGTAGAAGGAGAGAAAAGTTGTTTCCACAAAGTTGTTCTCTGATTTCCACATGCATGATGGCACACGTGCCCACAAACATACGTGGTGCACAAACAAAATATATATAATAAAAAAGACAACTTTAAAACACATTTCAATGTCTTACCTATTCTGTGACCAGCTTGCCTACTAATAGCAGCGATACACTGTATATAGGTTCTTGTTGTTGACATGGAGTCATTTTTTGACAATTCTGACAACAGATGTTCAATAAGGTCTACAAAAACTATATTTCCACAGCTCATAACCAGATGGCCAAGAGCAATGATGGTTCTTTTCCTCACTGCAAGTCTAGGACTGGTCAACTGGGGGAGTAGACAGGTCAGAATTGAAGGATGAAAATTAACAAGAAGTCCTCCTTGCCTTAAAATTAAAAAGAGAGAAAGTAAACATATGAATTCAAGATTACTAACATATCTAAACTCTGGACTTAATATATATGTATTTAGGATAAACCTGAGACAAATCCAAACCGAGAATGAAAGAAAAGCTGAATTCTCATTGTCCCTACCATTGTAACCAAAACCTAATAATATATCCAGATATGAAATGTACTTTCCCATTAACTCCTCGAGTTTAGGCCTTTATCACCTACTGTAGGATGCTAACCAACTAACTATCCAGCAAAACACCAAACAAACAAACATACAATGATCTTCTCACTTTTCTCCTTCCAAGTCCTCTAAGTGATTTTATCTGATTTTAGTGTTTTGGAGGACTCACAACATTGAAAACCCCAGCACTTCTTTGCCCTCCACCCCCCTTCTCTCTTGCTGTCTTTTCTCTGTCCATCTACATTTCTATTGGGCCATTTATTCCCAAACTGCTCTTCCCAATCAACTCTTATCCATAGCCCAGTTAGTCAACAGGATTCAAACATCTAAAATATAACAGTACTAGTGATCAGAACACACACAGGACAAAAAGACTGTCTGCATTATCAATGAAATTAGGTACAAATTTCCCACATATTTTGTATGACCCCTATTGACCAGAACAATTCCTTACTACTTTTATAGTCACTTCATATCCTGAAAAATGAGATTCTAACATTTTTTTGCTCCAACATTCTTACATGGATGTATTATACACCTGAGCATATTTACATATTGACGTGTTGTCCATCCCTGAAATTCCCCTCTACTTCCATTAATAACTTCCTTTAACATAGTCCCACTTGGTCTTTATTATAGACATGTAGTTCTGTAGTAAAAGTATAAGTTCTTTGCGTGCTAGGATGATAGATCCTCACTACAAATAATACACACACACTTATTTTTCAAATCAAAACACCCAATTATTTTTAAACTGAACTAAATTAACTACAAATAATATTCACAAATAATGAAAACCTCTAATAATTATTAGAATCAAGGATGAACAGAGATTGATATGCCCTTTAAGGTATATTCTTTTGGGAGTAGCTCAAGTTTTTCTTTCAAAATTAGACTTCTTTGGAAAGTAGAAAAACAGCAAATAAAATCCAAACACTCCTTCACCCCACCCCCAACATGTAGCATAAACAAGGTTGCTAAAAAGGTTACCATCATCTGTTTAACTGGAAATGTGTAACCTCCACTAACATATCTCCTTATATAAGTAGATTACGAACATAAAAACTTAACAGTAAAGTAAAACATAAACTGCTAAAAAAAAGTTAAATCACAAATTTTTGACTTCAGAACCTCAAAACACGTTTGCTATGCGTAAGGATAGCTTACATTTCCCTTACCCTCAACCACATGAATTTAAACTGTTTCACTGTATTAGCAAAAGGGATTTTAAACAAATGAACATAACATTTACAGTACAGGAAATGCAAAATGGACACATTTACCTGCTCAACATATCAGCCATGATATCCAAGGCTTCGAGCTGAACAGAGACATCCTCCTGCTTTGCTATTGCACTAGTAAGGCGCCCAGTAATCTTTTTACATACATTAGCAGCTAATGCAGAGCCTGCATGAATAAGTAAAAATTTCCAACTATGTTAAATGCTACTTTATATCCATAATAGTTAACAAATATCAACGTTAAACTTTCAAGACATCCAAGAGATCCTTGCCAGAAAAGTACTTCAAAAGTAACTTGTTAGACGTCAACAAGAATCAGTAAAAGCAACCATAGAAGGGGTGTATAAACAGGACAAACTAACATCCAGCATCTTCCACTGGATATCATGGAATGTTGGCTATGAATGAAGCCAGTGGTATCCATGGCAAGTGTACCTCTACAATGAAAGGCAGCAAGGTTTTATCTTCTGGAGTTTTTTCTATAACAGCCTTTAAATTTCAGTGAATTTGCAATCCAATTAATAGTTTCTTAAAAAGAAAAATTAGTATGTATAACCTCCAATGTGATCTTTTCCAAAAGAGATTCCATAACTTCATCACAAGGCAGAGGTATTCTGGGACTCATGTATATACCAGGGCTAGCACTATTTATTTTATTGTATTTTTAAAATTTGCACCACTATTTAAAGTAAATCCTATGTTACCGACAAGTGAGAGGACAAAGGGAACAGGTAACTCACTATGAAAATGAGACTCTAAATGGGTAAAAGAAATCTTGTTAAAAACCAGTATCAGCTATGTGTACAATTCCCATGTGGAAAAAAAAATGAATATCAAAACAGCTAAAATTATAAATAATGTACTTCAGAGTTCGTAGACTATTTGAAGTTAATTGCTTAATAAAAGTCAAGTAACGCTGCCATGTTCTTTCTTTTGAGGGGGTACTACAGTAGGCAACTGCTTTACCACTGAGCTATATCCAGAGCCAAAAACAAAAGATTTAAATCTGTACCCCACCAAGAAATCAAAACTTTGGTTGCAATAACCTAATCTTTCTGATTTCCCATTAATCTATCTACAAACTAGGGATGATTATTAAGACCTCTGATAAAGATGATGCTTAGACTAAGTGAAGTAACACAGAATCAGAATCTAATACAACTGGCATAGTAAACTATTAGTAGGTATTTATTAAGAAAATGAGTGAAAACATCCTTAGATGCCGGGTATGTTGGCACAGGCCTTTAATGCCAGCACTTGGGAGGCAGAGGTAGGCGGATCTGGCCAGCCTGGTCTACACATAGATAGTTCCAGGCCAGCTGGGGCTACAGGAAGATCCTGTCTCAAAAAAAAAGAACAAGAACAAGAAAGAAAACATACTTAAGTGACTTACCAATTTAAAATCTTTCCACAGACTAGGAACGTAATCATTTTACCCATTTGTAGATAAGACAACTTTCAGACTGCTAATTGTGAACAAATAGCTCAGTAGTCAAAAGCTAATTAACAAACTCATTAATTATAATTTTAGATTACCAAGTAGTTGAAAAAGGTTCAAATTTAATTAAAGCTACTAGTAAATTAACTATTTCACAGGTATATCTTTTTAAAAAAGATTTATTTTTACCATTTTGAATTTTATGAGTGTATGTCTGTGCGTGGGCATTTTATGTGAGTTTAAATGCCTGAAGAGACCAGAAACATCAAGTCCCCTTGGAGCTACAGTAGCTAGTGAGCTGCCAGAAGTGGGTGCTGGGAACTGAATTCAGGTATTCTACGAGAGCAATGCATGCTCTTAACCACTGAGCCATCTGCACAGCCCCATCATGGCTATTTCTTAATTTTGTTGAATTTTACACAATAAACTTTATGCAAAATGATCAATAATTGAAACTACAAAACTAATCAGAACTCATACCTGGTTATCTTTTTTCCTCACAGTACATGTTACACAACTCTAGTCTGCAGTCGTAACACACACAACAATATTAAAACCCTGTTCCAACACATAAAATTCCTTTTGAACTGGCACATGATATATTTAAATTCCTATTAAATTTGTTTCTAAGAAAAATAAGGTTTCAAATCATCCTCTCCCCCTTGGGAGGCAGGGGACGGGCTATACCTCCATGTAAAAAGCATGTAAGAAAAAGAGTTCTCGCTTACCACTGGAAGCTGGAGGAAGTTCTCCAATTACTGTTTTAAGGCCAATACTTGAAATATCTCGAAGCTGCTCTTTATCAGAAAGCATGTTTGTGCAGAGGGTATCTACAATTGTCTCTACTTGGTATTCTTTCACTTTACTCACTAAAGGACCAAGACTGTAACAGAAATGAAGAAAATTCTTTTAAAATATAGACACGTGAAAATAGACAGAAAACAGTAAGCAGAAATATTTACTTTGCCTAGTTAACTATCAATTTAACCATACACAATGCCTACATCATAAAAAGCTACATAACTGAGATGAGGATGATGGGAAAAAAACTGACTGATAAACTCCTTGTGGTTTTCAATTTTTTCCCCTTGATTTTCATCAGAATAGCAAGAAACTGAACATTATTTCCATCCTGCATGCTAACCCTTCAAATATACAAAAACAAACGGGAAAAAAAGGTAATAAAAAGACTGGTCAGGAGTCTGCTCTTAACAAAATTTACCTATAATAAAAGTTCCATTGATTGTTAGTTACTTCACCAACTTTTGACAATTTCTGGTCATTGTCACAAAGTTTCTTTTACTTTCCTATCTAAATTTTAAAATCATAGTTGCAATAATCAAAACAACCAGTATTACTATGTGCTCCTAAACCACACTGCTATCTTTCTTCTATTTTATACTGTGTTATACCTTTTTGTTTTCCCACTGGAGGAACTACTCCACAAGGATGGAAAAAGATTTTCTTTTACATCAATGCCCAAAGACATAGTAGGTAAACATGACACTGAATATTTATCAAGAAGCTACTATATTCAAACTTACTGAGAAACAATGGGCCCTATAAGGAAAAATTCATTATTTAATTGGTGAGGTAAAGAACTCACATAAATACAAAATAAAGAAGGCACTAACTAGTTTACCTAGCTTCCTAAAACTTTTGACTTTTAACATTATCCTTCACGTGCAGGTTTAATATATTATAACTCAGATTTTTAGGGAGTAAGCTTTGAAGTGAGTTAGCAAAGACTATTTCAACAACCTCTCACCTATAGTCCTGTAATCAACACTAATGAAACTCAATGGGTCACCAAAAGGCACGAAAATGGACAGGGACGAGGTGGGATAGGAGTGGGAGGTGGGCGAAAGGGTAATGGGGGTGGTGGTCAATCAGATCAAAATATTTTATATACATGTTAAAATAAAAAAGGTCATTTCAACTGGAGAGATAAGACCAGATATGAGTGAAAATGATGCTGAGGAGATGGCTCTGTTGGTGAAGTGCTTGCCACACAGCTATGAGGGCCCAAGTTTGATCCCCAGTAAGTCTAGTAAGCACCTATGTAAAAAGGCTGGGTGCAGTGGTGTACCCCCTATAACCCAAGCACTGAGGAGATGTAGAATGCTAGACAGTAGTCTAGCTGAATCCTCAAGCTCCTGGTTCAGTGAGAGTACCTTTCTAAAAAATGTGGATAAAGACACCCTATGTTGACTTCCTGCCCATACACATGCACTCATTCACATACCCATGAACATACACACACACACATAAAACAAATGAGAGAAAAGAACTGATACAAAAGGAAGATAAAAAATTGCCAGGCCATTAATTTAAATATGATGTAAACCAGGGACTAATGCATTTTTCCCAAACCTGAGATGATAAAACAAACTGTATTTGACAAGCGCGTCAATCAATGTATCACACATAGATGCTCAACAAACAACTGGTGACTAACCAGTGAAACCGTGGACAGTGGGGAATTAAGACCAGGAAGGAAAATGAACTGAATTTGTAGGGAGCCTAAGACAAAACAAAAGCCATGGTAACAAAGCAGGACAGATACATGAAGAGACCAAATATGAAACTATGATAGCAGGAATAAGAGACAAAAGGGAGTCCAAAAGAAATATTAAAGAGTTCGATCTTCTAGCAATAGCAATATAGTTTTGTTGAACTAACCATATTATAGTTGGAAATTACAAAATTTCTAAAACTGCCTTTTAGAAAACTATTTGAATAGCAGAAACACTGGGAGAGAAAAATGGATTAAAAAGTCTGTCTAGTTTCCTATCCAGTAATTACCTTTCAAATTTGAAGATAAATTAAAAGCAACTATAATAAAAAACTAAGAGAATGTATTACCAGCAACTTTATACTACAAGAACTGCTAAAGGAAATTGTTTAAGAGAAAATTAACTTGCATTACCAAAGAATAAAGATTACCAGAAATGAAACATGACCATACATGAACGATACATTACCCCCCTCAACCACCAATGCTATATTATGAAAACACATATATACATATACATACCAACATGTAAGAAATAGCAAAAGCAACTGACAGAGGAAGTTAAATGGAACATACCATAAAATCTGCATCAAGTGGTACAATATTCACCCTAACTAGATTGTGATGAATTTGAGGGACAGTTTATAATCATTAGTCTATAAAGCCATCTGGAAACCTATTATTTTGTAAGACAATAAAAGATTAAAGTCCTGCATGGTAACACATGCCTTTAATCCCAACACTCCAGAGGCAGAGAGAGGCAAGGGGATCTGTGTGTGATGAACACCAGCCTGTCTATATATAGCAAGTTCAAACTGGGCTACAGGGGGACCTTGTTTCAAAGAACAGAACAAAATAAAGACACAAAACAAAAAGTGTTTGAGAGAGGTACCCTGCACAGGGGAATAATGCTGCTCCCATAAGTTATGGGTTAGGAAACAAAAATTCCAGTGCCAGGTACGGGATACCTCCTTATAAACTATTTGTCAGGAAGGTCAGAGACCTGCAAAACAATACAGGCTACTGCCATTGTTCTTGGTTAGCCTGCAAAACTAGATCGTAAGATCTTATTGCTAACACTATATACTTCAGTTGTAGGGCATAGAGAAATCAAGCTGGAACTAACCTGGAAACTTCTTTCTATTGGCCAACTTTCATAGTGCTGGCAGGTGCCATGTAGGTTGCAAGAGGAGAAAAAACATCAATGGGCTTACCTGGCTATGAACACTGCCAGTTACAATGCCAACCTGCTAGGCACAATGTGCCCACTGGCACTGGAGGAACTTATACCAGGTTCTACAAACCTGGTTTCAAAAGCCCATGGCTGAAGAAGTTAACAGGATCTTGTGGGAAACCTGTTGCTGCTGCTTTGCTAAGTGGACATGGCGTCAAACTACCTTCTAAATATTTATCTTTATGCCCACAGACTAGTGCTGCTGTCTGCCTTGGTCAGAGAAACTTCTGTCTGCAGTGAGCAAAGGCCAATGCAGAGACTCATAACTGGTCAAATCGCTGAGAATAAGAAACTGTTGAGTGCTCTACTCTAAAATGGCACTCCCTCCAAGGATCAGGGAGGAAGCGGCAGAAGGAATTTAAGAATGAAAAGAGTGCTATGACATGCTATCCTCTGGAAAAGACATCACTGCTATGCTCATGAACTCACAACAGCAGCAGTATCCGTACAAAACCTATACAGACAGGGTTCATCAACATTCCATCATGAATATAGAGAAGATGCTCATGAAGCCACACTACTTTCTGAGAGGCTCTAGGTAGGTCACAGTTGCTAGAGGAAGGGGAATCATAGTCCTCAGGGGTATAGCTACTGTTAAGATGCCCTTCTCAAGTAAATAACTCCCTCCCCATGCTCATGAAGATAGCCCTAATTAAATGCAGTCGTACCCACACACGCACACACAAACTAGGAGGGAGACTTGTGGGAGGCAGAAGGGTTAAGAGTATAATGGGGTAGAGGGGAATATAATCCAAGTTAATACACACACACACACACACACACACACACACACACACACACACGTGTGTGTGTGTGTATGTTAAAGAATAAATCATTGAAGACCCCAAAGAACTTTTCCTCAACTGGATGTAGCTATCATTGGTTACTATACTAAAATTAAAACCCAATTATGGACTAGGGAGAACTGTGCAAGCATGAGGACTGGAGTTTGGAGCCCCAGAACCCATGTAAAAGTTGGGTGTGTCAGCACACATGCCTGTAATCCCAGTGCTGGGGCGGCAGAGACAGAGGATCCTTAGGGCTTTCTGGCCAGTCAGTCCAATCAGTGACCTCCAGGTCCAGGGAAAAACCTTTTCTCAAAAAGTAAGCTGGAGAAGCAATTGAGGAACACCCAATGTTGACCTATGGTCTCCACATGTATACACACAAATATACATACAAATACCACAAAAAATAAAATAGAGCGCACTGCATACTAGTAACAAATGTTTTAAAGAATAATTATGTCTTCAAAAATAAAGTAAATAGCATAGTTTGTTTCTCCAAATTTATGTTTGAGATTAAAAGAACACTGGACTTCCACACACTGTTTTGCATTTAGTTTGTTGTGGCTGCATGTATCAAGTGGCCTCTGGATGATTACATGGACACTTATGAAAAAAAATGTAAATGGGGGGAAATAATGAAGCCTCAGTATAATTTCCATGATAGTCTTGAACCTTCTAGGGTAATGAACTGCTTCAGGAAACTCCCAAGAATTGCTACAGAAAAGAACTGGAGAGATGGCTCAGTGGTTAAGACACTGGCTACTCCTGCAAGGACCTAGGTTCTGTTTCCATAATCCATAGTGGCTAACAACCATCTGTAACTCTAGTTCCAAGGGATCTGACACACTCTTCCGGACTGTGTGGGCACTGCATGCATGTGGTGCACATAAGTACATATAGGCAAAACACTCATACCGATAAAATAAAAATAAATAATTTTTAAATTAAATACAAAAAGAATTACTGCTTAAGTAACCCAATTGGGGGGGGGAATCAAACAGAAAACAAGAAAAATTGACTTGCCTAAATCCAACCATATGAACATTTCTAATCAACATTAATGAACTAAAGATTTTTAGTCATAAAAGGGTCATACATCAGGAAGATCTTAACAATTTTAAATGTGTACGCACCTAGTCATTGACAAAGAAGACCAAATTTGAGTCAGGGTCCTCTGAACTCTCTTTCCAACTGAGGCCTTGACCTTGGCTCCTATCCTTGCTGGACCTACATAGCACTATGGTAAGAATTCTTTCAATCTTCATGTCTCCTCAAGTATTTTTCATCTAGGGATTTTCTCCTTCCTATTTTTGGCTAAATCCCCAAGTGTCTTTATATTCACAAGTGAATCTAACCTCTCTCCCCTACTGCTATAATCTTGACCCCTATCACAAGTGACTGTTGAGTCTGAATAAAAGCTTCTTTACTATTTAAACAAGTATCAGTAATTTCATCTTTATCATACAGTTTTAAAATACACGAACAGAAAATTGATATTACTAGTAAGAAATGACAAATCAGTATCACAGTTGGAAATTTTAAGATTTCTCTCAGTCAATAGATTACTCAAACAAAAGCATCAGGGAGCATACAGATCTACACAACACTAACAACTACCTTGACCTTTAGGTATTTACAGAACACTTGAACCAACTGCAGAATACACTTTCAAGTATATACGGCTCACCAAGACCCACCATGTAACCTATTCAAGTTTTTAAAAACCTAAGTTCTCTGAAAATCTTATGTGGTTTTCTGACCACAGCATAAATCAATTAGAAACTATTACACACACACACACACACACGCACACACACACGTATCTCCCTAAATAATTTTCAGATTCCCTTCTCAATAATTCATGGAGTAAAAAGCTGGTTATGTGAGTATGAGGACCTGAGTGTGGATTCCTAGCACCTATGTTAAGGCTGGGCATGGCAGCACATGTTTATAATCCCAGGGATGGGCCAGTGCAGATAGCCAGATTCCTGGAGTTCATTGGCCAGTGAGCCTGGTTGAATCAATGGGCTCTAGGTTCAGTGAGGTACTCTGTCTCAAAAAATAAGGTGGAGAGGGGGCTGAAGAGATGACTCAGCAGTTAAAGAGCACTGACTGCTCTTGCAGATGACCTGGCTTTGGTTCCCAGCACCCACATGGCAGCTAACAATCATCCATAACTCTAGTTCCAGGAGATCTAATGCCCTCTTCTGACCTCCATGGGCACTGTACAACACAGGTGCACTTACATACATGCAGGCAATATACCCATACACATGAAATAAAAATAATAAATAAGCCAGGTGTGGTGGCACAGCCTTTAATCCCAGCACTTGGGAGGCAGAGGCAGGCGGATCTCTGTGAGTTCAAGGCCAGCCTGGTCTACCTAGCGAGTTCCAGGACAGCTGGGGCTACAGGGAGACCCTGTCTCAAAAAAGACCAAAAAAAGTAATAATAAGTAAAATAAAATATTTAAAAAAAATAAGGTGGAGAGTGACTGAAGAAGACACCTGACATTAACCTCTGGTCTCTACATACATGCACACAAATACAAAACACACAAAAATAATTTTAAAAATTAGACTGGTCAAGGATGCTGGGGATAAAGTCTGGTGGTAGACTATTTGCCTGGTATGCACAAAGCCCTAAGTTTAATCCTTAGCCCCGCAAGTAAACAACAAGAAAAGAAAAAAATCCGCAAGAGAGTTAAATGTATTTTAAAACAAATGATTAAGATTAAAAAAGTTTGTTGGATCTAGCTAAAGATGTACGTAGAAGCAAATGTATGACTTTAAATGTTTAAATTAGAAAGAAATCAAAAGGAAAGCAAAAAAACTTTTTTCCCCAATAAAATAAGCAACAAATAGAGAAAAATGAGTTAAGCCTAACGTCGGCTCTTTCACAAGAAAGGTAGAGTTGCTAATTTCCTAACTAATTAAAATCAAAGAGAGAGAATTCCAATTATCAAAATTAGGAATGGGGCAGGGGAGACGGTTTTGTGATGAAGCACTTGGTACAAGCATGAGAACTGGATTCAGGACCCCCGACATCTACATAAAAAAGCCTGGAGGGCAAGGTGAGCCCACCTGCAATCTTGGCACTCAGGAGATAGAAAAAGGGGTTCCCCAGGGCAAGCAAACGTTTAACCAGACCAGCCAAACTGGAGAGCTCCAGTCTCAGTGAAGATATCCTGCCTCAATAAATAACATGGACAGTAATCACGAAAGATAGGTGACATCAGCCTCTGGCCTCCATGGCAAGCACACTCACACATGTGCATTCACACATGAACATACATACATGAATGCAAATCACACACACCATAGAGAGGTTCACTACTAACGTGTCTGTTTATGTAGAAAACCCCAAAGACTCAAAAAAATTAATGTAACTAATAAGAATGAGAAACTGCCAGGCCTGGTGGCACATGCCTTTAATCCTAGCACTTGGGAGGCAGAGGCAGGTGGATTTCTGTGAGTTCAAGGCCACCCTGGTCTACATAGTGAGTTCCGGGACAGCTGGGGCTATAGGGAGACCCTGTCTCAAAAAGACAAAAAATAAATAAATAAGAATGAGAAATTATGGTTCACAATTGAAAAAATTTCAACATGGCCGATGTGGTCATAGGCCATCAGACAGTAAGAAATAATGTTAAATATTTCTCTAGCTTCAAGATTACAACCTAAAATTGAAAGTGCCTATTTTTAAAAACAAAAATTGATAAACTGATTTTTTAAAATACAAGAGAATTTTTTTGAATATTTTATTCATTATTTTTATTTTGTGTATGAGTATATTGCCTCCTTGTATGTGAGTGCACCCGTGTCGTATAATGCCACAGAGGTCAGAAGAGGGCTTCAGAGTCCCCTGGAACTGGAGTTAAGGACAGTTCGTAGCACCCATGTGGGTGCTGGGAATTGAATCCAGGTCCTCTATAAGAGTAGTCAGTGCTCTTAACCGCTGAGCCATCTCTTCTAATTTACAGAACCAAAATACTCTTAAGGAAAAAAAAAAAAAAAAAGTGAAGCTAGAGAACTTGAGTCACCTTACTTCAATTTACTATATGCACATCAACCAAGGGTAATCTTTTCTCTCAAGAGATACATGGCAACATTTGTAAGCATTCTTGGTTGTTATAAACCTGGGAAGGTAGAAGTGCTATTGGCAAACAGAGAGTAACAGCCAGAGATGCTGCTAAGTACCCTATACTACACGAATAGCACCCCAAAACTAAGACTTACCTGATCCAAAAGGTTAGCAGCACCAAGGCCAGAAACCCCTGAGCTATAATAATGCAACAGCGGAATACTGTTGTAACGATAGGCAAAATGGATCAGTGAACACAAAAGTCTAAGAACAGAGTACACTCGACTAACTTTTCCGGCAACGACGTCCGATTAATTTGATTTCACAGGGAAAGGAATGATGTGGAGAAATGAACAATTTCCACTGCATACTTCCTACAAACTTAGTTCAACATGCATCACAGAACTAAAAGTGTAAAACTAAAACTTCAATAACCAGGGAAAATCTTTGCAAATTAAAGTAAATAAATACTTCTTAGGACACAAAACCACCACAAATAAACACTAATTTATAAAGTAAATAAAAATTAACTTAAAAAAATCAAAATTAAAAATCAAAGCTTATCAAATTAGAAGATATTTATATAAGGTATATATGTCAAAGTATCTATATCAAAACTATATAAAGAAATCCTACAACTTGATAATAAAGACAAACTCAATTCTAAAAGTTGGAAAAGTCCAAAAAATCAAAATGACCACTGTTGATCAAACGTTTCAGGGAAATATAAACTAATACCATACCTAAACACCTAGTGAAAACTGGAATGGCTAAAATTAAAAATGATATAACTGGGGCTTCATTCAGAGCACTGGCTGCTCTTGCAGGGGATCTAGGTTTGATTCCTAGCACCTACATGGCAGCTAACAACCATCCTAGTTCTAAGGGATCTGCACCATCTTCTGACCTCCATGGGTGCTGCATGACGTGGATGCACTTACACACATTCAGGCAATATACTCAAGACACATAAAAGTAATTTTTAGAAAAACTTAAAAAGACTGATAGAACTAAGTATTGATGGGAATGGGAAGCATCTGGTACTTTCAAGAAAATGATACTACAAGATCAGGTACAACTGGACTCTGTTGATACTGAATGATATATAAAATGGCATAGAAATCCAGAGATAAAATATTAGGTTAACAGTGTACTTTGACAGAGTTTGGTGGTGTACACCTTTAATCTCAGCATTCAGGAGGCAGAGGCAAGTGGAGATTTGGGAGACTGAGACTTGGCCAGCTGAAGTTATAAGGAGACCCTGTCTCAAAAAGACTCCTCCCCTAAATTACTCTGTATTATAAATTATGAAATGTCAGATTAATAATTTACTTTGTATTATAAATTAAGGTTTCTAAAATTTAGCATTCATAAATTAAACTGAATATTTGTTATTTATTTGTACTACTGAAGAAGAACCTAGTGTCTCAAAGGCGCATGCTCCTCCCACTGAACCACATCTCCAGCCCTCATTTTACTTTCTTATTCTGAGACAACATCTCACTAAGTTATCCAGGTAGATCTTGAATCTTGTGATCCCTTGCCTCAGCCTCCTGAGCAGCTGGGATTACATGTATGGCTTAAACTGATTTAAAAACAATTTACTGAGAATTCTAATATAATTTTATACTATACTAAAAATAATACATAAAACTAAAATATCATTAACTACAAGAAACACCTATTGTACACCACACAATTCGAATTTCTACAATTTCAAGGATTCTTTGAGATCATGGTATCATCATCACTTAAATTAACTTGTGTCTTAACTGCTGTTTGGTTTTTGTTTTTGCTTCTTTCCTTCCTTCTTTCATTTTCTCCCTCCTCCTTCCTTGAGACAGGTGCTCCCATGCAACGCCACACCGGCCTTAAGCATATGATCCTCCTACCTCTGTAGACTAGACTGGCTTGCTGTCATTGTTTTTTACGATTATAGTTCCTATCAAATTAAAAGGCTACATTGACAATTTAGATTCTGAAAAGAAGCATATTTCATGTATGCATCACATGTAATTACTAAACATTTACTAGTAAACCTAAAAATTTCAAAAGGAAACTTTCCAAGAAGACATAGTATAAATAGTATGACTTAAAATTAATCAGTTTTTAAGAGTGATTAAGCAAAGTACAACTTACCATTTTACAGCTAAGTTTTGTACCTCACCATTTTTATCTTCTAGCAACTTCAAAATCATTTTCACCACCTTCCTTTCACTATCATCATCCAACTTGATAGAATCTTTCTGCAGTTCTGTCATCAAATCATTTGTAGCCATAAACCTATTAAAAATTAAAAAGCATTAAAACCCTTGATTTCTCATATTCAATGCTATAACACTCAAAAGGAACATAGTATGATTATAAAAACTTGATCCGATAGGCTATAACATATATGACAGAATACATGAAATCTGGTGGGGAAAGCTATGGGGGGGGTACAGATAGAAGAGGGGGTACAAATATGATTAAGATGTATAAAACAAAAAACTTCAACAAAAACTCAACTACTTTTTACATCATAAATTTAAACCAAATACTACTAAAGAAAAGGTAACAGAATGTACTTAATTTTTTTAGGAAGCATTTTTAAAGTCCTAATGTGCTCTGGCATTAGGGAAATCCAAAATTATCTCCCCCGGGTTAATCCTGATTTCAAATTTACTAATAGGACCTATAGTGAATGATCTTTCATTCCCATTCATTACACCACGGCCATTAGGGGACAGCTCCTGGCTTTAATTTTATTTACAAAACCCTTAACTACAAACATTAAGAACATCCTACAGATTAATGTTCCAAAAAAAATTTCATCCCTACCCCAACTCCTATCGCTAGATATACCAAAGTATATTTTCAGAATGGTAAAGAAGAGATTCCATGAAGTTGCTCCCCCGGATATACAGTAACTTCCCCTTAAGAACCATGCGCAAAGGAGACTAGCAAAACCCAGAGTGACCTACCATTGAGCTCAGCTTGAACTGTTTAAAACCAAATGAATTTACTCATAATTCTTGGCTCTCAACCATGGAAATAATACAATTGTATTAACAACTGTTTTTATTATTATTATTTGGGTGATTTGTTTGTTTTTTGGAAACAGGGTCTCCCTGTAGCCCCAGCTGATCAGGACTTCACTATATAGAAGGCTGGCCTTGATTTCAGAGACCCAGCTGGCCTTGATTTCAGAGATCCGGCTGCCTCTGCCCCCCAGCTGATCAGGACTTCACTATATAGAAGGCTGGCCTTGATTTCAGAGATCCGGCTGCCTCTGCTTCCCAAGTGCTGGAATAGATGGTTTGGACCACCATGCCTGGCATGAACGAACACTTATTTAACATCTTTTTTCTTTTATTTGAACCAGATCCAGCTGAGTCAAAATTTAAAAGTTTTCTTTATACAGAAATGCCAAAATCTTTGTTTAAATTGGAAATCACAACTACCAACCACTATTGAAGCTTATTTGGTAAATAACTACGGAGATAATCTGGCAATGTGGGGCAATAAACTATTTGGTAGTAGTTGGCAAAACAATTTAGTAAATCACTAGTAATAAGGTAATTTAAAAAAAAAAGATTTATTTTAATTGTGTATGTGTATGTATATGCAGTGGCCTCAAAAGCCAGAGGAGGGTGTCAGATCTTCCTGAACCTGAGTAAGTCATATGACATGGGTGCTGGGAACCAAACCCAGGTCCTCTGGAAGAGTACCAAGTGCTCTTAACCACTGAATCATCTCTCCAAGCCCCTGTAACAAGGTAATTTTAAAGATAATTTCAATAATAAGGAATCTATTAATTTAACACTGTCAGTTTTAAACTACATGGAAGCACATGGCTCAACTGTCAAATTCCACAAAATTACTAAAGAAAAGAGGCTTACATTCACATAGGGGCAATACAGGATAAATTAGATACATATTTGTTTTACAAATTGACACAATTCTAATTGGAAGCTCCTTTCCATTATAAAATAAGAAAAATATACTAAAATCACAAAATTTTCATTACTACTCTGAAGTGGGAAAATCTACGTAGCACATCAATGCAGGTACTTCTATAAACACAAAGCACTGAAAACATTTTAACCCTTTTACTTAAACAAAATTTTAAACAGCCAATAATGGTTTATAAACCCCTTAAGAATTTTTTTTTTAAAAAAGCAGACAAACTGGGCATGGTGGCACACGCCTCTAGTCCTAGCACTTTGGAGGCAGAGGCAGGTGGATCTCTGTGAGTTCAAGGCCAGCCTGGTCTACATAGTGAGTTCCAGGACAGCTGGGTCTACAGGGAGACCCTGTCTCAAAACAAAAACAAAAACAGCAGACAATCCCAAATAAAGTTTGAGGGTTCTGATGGGTTCTACTAGAACACTGCTCATTTCTTTAATCATCACTTACTTCCAGTCTACTATGCAAGAAAGTCTATGCAAGAGTTAAAAACAAAAGGGGAACAAGACACAGCCCAGGACAACAAAGAGTATGTATTAGAATAATGAAGTCAACTGATCTCCAAAACGCCATGATTAACAGTTAGTTTTAAATTTTGAAATGACTACCAGCAAAATTACCATTCTATAAGCAGATTCAATTTGGAAATGACTTCTGCTGACTACTGTTTTACATACTAAGGGCAGAGATGGTAGACTCAAGTGCTCTTCTCTTCCATCTAATGGGACAGACACAAATAAGACAAATTTCATTCATGCATTTTTTTTAAATACTAAACAAATCTGGTGTGTAATTCCAGGACTTGGGACATAAAGGCAGAAGGATCAGGATCAAAGCCACATTTAGTTAAATGAGTTTGAAGCTAGCAAGGGCCACAGGAGACCCTGTCTCAACAAAACAAAAACTACTAGTAGACGAGAACATGGAAACAATCACGTCAAAGAAACTGCCTGCTAGCTTAGATCTCAAAAGATTAACGGGAGTTTCATGGGCAAAGTTGGTTTGGGGTTTTAATTTTTCCTTCTTATAACAGTGATGGAGAGGAGCCAGAGAGCAGTTAAGAACTACAACAGCAGTTCAGTGTGGATGGAGCACAGAAACCTAACAGAGAAACTTAACCAAACTAAAAGGTAATGGAAATGTAGGCTCAAATGAGGCTGGAAATGGTTATTATATAATGAGAAATCTACACACCAGGTACTCTATAAACTGCTATGGATACATGTCTGGCAAAAGCAGATGTGGTCCCTGCAGGACATGATAATTTTTAAAACTGCGAGTATGAGTAAACACCTACATAGAACGAAGATGAATGCTGCAAAGGAAAGAAATGTATCATAAAAAAAAACACAAAACAACAATGGGGTCAAGAGTGCTTGCTCCTTAATCATGAGGATCAGAGTTCAGATACCAGCACCCACATCCAACAGCTATAACTGTATCTCCAGCCCCTAGGGACTGTATGCCCTATTATGACATCGGTGGACACCTGCACACACGTGCACATATACTTACACAGATACACAAAGACACACATAAAAATAAAGTTAAAAAACATGATGACTTGTCAAAATACCCAACCTAGACAGCAACACGGGCTCAGTATTAGTTAAGAGTGAAATACGATGAACAGACAGATTATTCTGGAATGGGGGGAGGAGGGGAGACCTGATACCATGTAAGCAAGGGACAGGAGTTAAGGAGATCTGTAGATCATGCTGGGATTTAAGGCTTTCTACTAAGAGTGCTAAGAGTGATGAGTAGCTCCTCCAGAGATGGGACAGAGGTAGGAAACAGAAGGATTAGATTTGCCTTCCAGAAGAACCACTACAATAGTGAACACCAAAGAGCCAATCATCAGTTAGCCAGAATAGAGGCCAGTTAGAATTACTACAGCATTAAAAAAAAACCACAATAGGCCAACTAAGTTCTAACAACAGAAATGGGGGGGGGGGGGGGGGAATGTAACAGCCAGTCAGTCCTCATTACTCAAAGACTGTATCTGTGAATCAACTTATTTGTTAAAAATTATTAAAGTTCAAAATTAATACACCACATTTCTTAATCATTTGCAGACAGCTACAGAGTGAGAAAAAATTCAAGTCACTCAACACACATCCTTAGCTACAGGGGAACTCTGTCCCTTAGTTTTAACTCTCATACCATAAACAAGCAGTCCTCTTCTCAGACCATTTCATGCCGAGTTTTTCACATTTATGCTGCTCGTTTATGCTGCTGGTGATTTGACTGTTTAATGCACAGTCTGAAGTGCTGCCTAGTATTCCTAAATGCAAGGAGGCGGTGACATGCCTTTTGGAAAAAAACATTCAGAGATGTGTTATGCCTGAATGCTAATGACAGTTAAGATCAATGTTTAATCAACCAGATTAAATGAGATATTTTTAAACATAAAACAAGACTATGAATTGAACAAATGATGATAATGCAGTGATCAGGGGCTCAGAGGGACTCAACCTCAGTATCTCCCTAAAACCAACAATTCAAGAATCAACAATTGCTAATTCCACGTGTATGGGAATTTTATAGAACACATTACTACACACAATGAGGGACAACTACTTTGGATTTACACATAGGAATAGATAATAAAGAGATGGACTAGAAGGCAAGAAGTGAGAAAGAAGTAAAACACAAGATCTGGGTGCTAGAGATGGCTGATCATCTTTGTGAAGCGTTTCAACGTTACTGTTCAGACAAGGTCAACATCAGATGGTTCAATCACTCATCCTACAATGAATGAGAAATGATGAATGCCTCTAATCTTAAGCAACAAAGGTAACCAAAGTTAAAGTATGAATATCATCAATTCATGTAGCCACTAGCCAGAAAAGGACTGAGAAATTAACAGAGTCCATGCCAACGAGAAGCTCATCTGAGGCCCATACCTAAGCCTCAATGTTACCATGAACTGATGCTCTGATGTCTGTTTATAGCTAGAGCATACTGTTTCCTCAGACTTAATCTTAAAGAATATCCACTTCAGACAAGGTCACAGAGCAATCAAGATTATCATACAGTCCTCTTACTTGTTAAATGAGTGACTAGTACTTCCTTACCAATTACAGCTTTTCCATTATTTAGGCCTATAAAATTTAAGATGCAAATCATGGACCTGCCCTCACTTTCTGAAGACATTCAATTTTAAAGCAAAGCTTTGCTTTCTCATATCTTTCCAAAAATTACCCAAATAGTAACCTCTTACTGAGATACCCCACAGCTTTTGTTCCCAATGACTCTAATAAATATACCTAACCATCAAGAAAAATTCAAGAGAAGAAATGTGGCATCTGTGCCATATTTAAGGAGAGCATTGG